TGAGCAGTGTGATGCCACGGCACACTACTGAGGGTGGTAGGGGGAGACTCTGTACCACCCCCCCCCAAAAAAACTGTTACAAAATTGATAAAGCAAATACCAAAAGATGGTTACAGGGCAAAAGAGCTTGATCTCAGCACGTTCTTAGGGCACAATCAACCAGTGTTGACTAGCCCTAATTGTTTTAGAACTGCTTTAGCTGCCCTATGATACCTTTTATGTAATCATTATACTAAAATCTCCCCCCAGTAGGAAATTACATTAATAACACCGTTAAAATCACATAGGTTTGTGCATGATAGTGCATGGTAATTATACTGCACATGCCTGATTTGTTTCAATGAGAACATGATGACAAAATGAAAAAGCTGTCACTCACTGGGAAGACCAGTGTTGACCTTGGTTCAGGCTGATCTTGAACTCGTGAGCTCAAGCATTCCACCCACCTTGGCCTCCCAGAGTGCTAGGATTACAGGTATGAGTTAAGAACCTTGTGTTGACCAGGAATAAGTGCCCTTGTAAGTAATCTCAAATGAACCGGTCTAGGCTCAGCGCCTGTGGTTCAAGTGGCATGTTTCAATCCAGCCCGGGCCCACCAAACAACAATGATGGCTACAACCAAAAAATAGCCAGGCATTGTGGTCGGTGCCTATAATCTCAGCTACTAGAGAGGCTGAGGCAGGAGAATCGCTTAAGCCCAGGAGGAGATTGCTGCTGTGAGCTGCGATGCCAAGGCACTCTACTCAGGGTGACAGCTTGAGGCTCTGTCTCAAAAACAAAAAACAAAAAAAACAGTCTAACTCACCAAGCTGGTCTTGTCTGAGTTATTCTTTAGTCTCTCAACTCTATCTCAGTTTGAGGGGTGGTATTTCCAGACTGTCCCAGAATTTTCCCAAAACATTTGTACTTGATTCTCATGTAAGTTGTGAGAGAGGGGACCAGTTTCATTTGATTGCATTCAGATCCCTAATTGTTCACATATATTATTGAAAAAAATCTGTCACTGGGTGGTGGCTGTGGCTCAGTGAGTAGGGCGCCAGCCCCATATACCCAGGGTGGTGGGTTCAAACCCAGCCCGGCCAAACTGCAACAACAACAACAACAACAACAACAAAATAGCCAGGCATTGTGATAGGCGCCTGTAGTCCCAGCTACTCGGGAGTCTGAGGCAAGGGAATCACCTAAGCCCAAGAGCTGACTGGAGGTTACTGGGAGCTGTGACCCCAAGGCACTCTACTGAGGGTGACAAGGTGAGACTCTGTCTCTAAAAAAAAAGAAAAGAAAGGAAAGAAAGAAAGAAAGAAAGAAAGAAAGGAATCTATTACGTACCACTTCTCTATACCCTTTCTCTATCACACAGGATGTTTCTGGTGGTTGAGATCTATTTTTAGGATCCCTAATTTCTTCCGTAAGTGTGTTGGTTTGTTCCTGTGTCAATTCAACATGGTCATATTTTCTGCAGTGTTGTAATATACATCAGTAGGATTTAGAGCTACTCATTGTTCTTCATGATTGCCTTGACTATACTTGGAAATTTCTACTTCAATATAAATTTCACAATAGAGTTAGTAAGTCACACAGAAGTCACCTTTAATCTCGTGTGACATATTGCTCTGACTCTGCAGATCCATTTGGGTGGAATTGATTTATATGATATTGCTTTCAAACCCATTAACATGGCTCTTTTTCAACTTATTTATATCTTCGGTATCCTTCAATATTGATTTATGATTTCCTCAACAGAGGTGGCACACTTTGTATTTTTGTTAGATGCATCTCTAAATAATTAGGTACCTTCTAGGTATATGGTAATTTTCAAAGCTATTGTCAATGGCACCTTTTGTAAAATTTTATTTTTGTTTATGACTGTGATGTGGAAATATAATTGCCTTGGTAGTGTGATTAATCTCTAGCAGGCTTGCTAATTCTTTTGTTAAGACCCTATTTGGGGAAAACACTTAAATTGTGTTTTTTCCTAAATTCTACACCACAACAATTGTTAACACAGAAGGGGGGCCAGGTGAGGTGGCTTATACCTTTAATCCTAGCACTGTGGGAGGCCGAGGTGAGTAGATTGCTTGACCTCACGAGTTCAAGACCAGCCTGAGCAAAAAATTGAGACACTGTCCCTACTAAAAAAAAAAAAAAAGAAAAGAAAAGAAACTGAGGCAAGAGGCTCTCTTGAGCCCAAGAGTTCGCAGTGGTGTGAGCTATGATGCCACAGCTTTCTACCCAGGGTGACAGCTTGAGACTCTATCTCAAAAAATAAACAACAACAACAAAAAAAACCACACACAGAAGAAAACTTCTGTGACTAAATGTGTGGGTTTCCCCCTCACACATCAAGCAGTGGACACCACCTAGGTCTCCTCTAAATTCTGAAGCTACTACTTGGAGGTAGTATCAGATTTCACATGGTGAGGATTCAGTTTCCAAAACCCTCTTCTTCCTACCAATTGGGAGTCCAGGCTTCTGGAAGTTTTGGGGGGTTTCTTGAGACAGAACCTCAAGCTATCATCCTGGGTAGAGTGCCGTGGCATCACAGCTCACAGCAACCTCCAATTCCTGGGCTTAAGCAATTCTCTTGCCTCAGCCTCCCAAGTAGCTGGGACTACAGGTGCCCGCCACAATGCCTGGCTATTTTTTGTTGCAGCCATCATTGTTTGGTGGGCCCAGGCTGGATTTGAACCTGCCAGCTTGGGTGTATGTGGCTGGTGCCTTAGCTGCTTGAGCCATAGGCCCTGAGCCTGGCCTCTGGAAGTTTTGATCAACTGACTTTAAGTTGGGGTTTTCAAGACCTCCCTCTTTGGGTTTTATTAATTTGTTGACACAGCTCAAAAAAACTCAGGGAAGCACATTTACTGGCTTATTATAAAGGATACATGTAAAGAGATGGGCAGGGTGCGGTATGGGGGGAAGGAGCACCATCCTCTAGGACCCTCCATGAGTTTAGTTATCTAGAAGTTTTCCCTGACTTCCTCAGGGTTTGAGGAGGTTTTATTATGTAGGTATGATTGACAATCATGGAGAAATGTAACTGGACAAAAAGTACATGATCCAGCAAGGCCTGGCTGTTTAGATTTCTTTGGCTCTCTGCAGCATCCTTCCTCTGGGAAATTGGGCAGGACTCTCTCTGGAATGAGAATCTTTTGACTCACAGTCACATTAGAGTTCCTGTCTTGGGCAGGTGAAAGGACAGGTGAAGGTCAGAGAGAGAGAGAGAATCTGTTTCCTGAGGCCTAGAGCACCCCAAGATTACAACAAGGACTGTGGGCATTATGAGCCAGGACAAAAATAAATATATATGTGTATATATCATAACACCACAGCAGAATAGAAACAGAAGTCAGTATTTCTTCTGATATGGTTGATTAAAATTTCCTTTGATCATTGATAGTTTAAGAAACTTTATTCTTACAACTCATTAGAAATATCTAAACATTTTAAAGATCATTGTTAAATCTGAAGAAACTTTTATTAAGTTTCCTTTATAAACAAGCAGTAAGATTACCGGTTATTGCTTCACATTGCTTCAAATCTGAAAAGGGATTCTTGTGTTGGGGCAAGGGCTTTGGCCCCATAAAAGTTAGTTTAAAAAAATCAACCCACAATAAGCTGAATGAATAAGATAAAGGGCATACACATTTATTTACCCATGTGCACGGGAAGAATCACAGAATGACTGCCCCATATCCCAGTGGGATCCAAAAGCTTACATGCCATCTTGAGGTTATAGAAAGAACAGGGTTTGAATCCTGGGAAAACAGGATGTGGGTGCGGGAGAAGAGGAATTCTATCAAATGGCAACAAATGATCAATTATTAAAGAGGATGGCACAAGAAACAGAAATTACTTGTAAATAGCTTTGCCTTTTTTAAGCCGGGCGGTGTGGCGGACACCTGTAGTCCGAGCTACTTGGGAGGCTGAGGCAAGAGAATCGCTTAAGCCCACGAGTTGGAGGTTGCTGTGAGCTATGATGCCATAGCACTCTACCAAGGGCAACATAGTGAGACTCTGTCTCAAAAAAAAAAGAAGAAGAAGAAGAACTTACTTTATAATGGGTCTATTCAGGTGTGGTTACCTGCTTGGTCTTCCTTATGGTAATGGACAATAATAGGGAGGAAAATAAGAGCAATTGTTTTCCGGGGGTGGGGGGGTCTGTTCTATCTTCATGTAGCTAGGGGAAGAGTCTCTTTTAAGACCTATTGATCTGTAAGGGTTTTTAATTTGATCTTTTCTACCAGGCAGCCAAGCGTCAGGGTGAAATTCCCTGTGCTCCTTCCCCTATAAAGGAGAACCCCTGAAGATGGCGCTTCATTAGCTTCTTGGTGGCGAATTTGCTTTGTAGCCTTTTGGGGACTCCACCTAGTGGGGTGAGGCTTTCCTTAGACACCCTATTTTGAGTGGGCCTGTGGTACATCACTGTCCCATAATACCCGTAGGTCCATGAACACCACAACTGGACTGGGCCATGTCTCAGAAATCCCCTTAGGGCAAAGGTGCCTCAGCTTTCTCCATGGGTTCTCACCTTCCACTAAATTTGAATCTGATAATTCCTTTCCTCCTTGCTAACACTTGAATGGCTTAAATTTAAAATTTAAATTCTTGTTTTTCTATAACTTTCAATGGTTTTCAGCTGGAGGAGGGGTCTGACACGAATCTCAGGGAATGACCAGCTCTGGCCCTCCTTTCCTTCTCTACCTGCATTCACTCCGTGGTGATCCCACTACCGATGATGACATCACTTGGAAGGAGATGACTTCAAGACCTCCCACCTCTGAGGACCTTAGTATCTTTACCTGAAGCCTCCACTGGGGTGGAAAGACGGGATGATTTCCCATCCCCCGCATCCTCCATCCGCATCAAGTTCCCCTTCTGTGAGGCCACAGCTCTGCTCACCCACTGGCTTCCTGTACAGACTCCCTGGTCCCGCCCCATATTTGGGTGTTTCCTTCCTTTATAGAGGGACTGGCCAGGGACTCAGGCCCAGCAGCACGGACATGCTGGCCCTGCTGCTGCTGCCCCTGCTGTGGGAGGGTGAGTGGGTTGAAAGGGTCGGGTGGGCATGAGTGTGGGGGGAGCTGCAGCTGCAGCTGACTTTGTGTGCCCCCAGGGTCCCTGCAGGTGGACACAGAGCTCAAGGTACAAGTGCAGGATTCGGTGACCGTGCAGGAGGGCCTGTGCA